TAAAAACAAATATTGACTGGTGTTTTGTGAACTTCTGTTATCAAAAAAAAATACTTTAGATCTTTTTTGTTCATGGTTGATCAATTTTAAATTAAGTTTAAAGGAAGTGAAAGAAACAGATGTGAAGTTTTAACTGTATTCTCATGAGTGCTTGAGCTTTGCGGTCAAAAAAGAACAAAAAGTTTTAAACAAGAAAATGATCACAGGGTCAAGTTATTAACTGTAACACCTGATTAAAAAAATAATCACTGACAATATATTTATTCCCATGTTTACATTTGTATCTCATTTTTCGATTATCTTCAACCTTTTCTCCTCCAGCGGGTGTGGTGAGGCCCACCCTCACAGTCCTCCCTCCCTCCAAAGAGGAAGACAAACAGAGTAGTGCCACTGTGGTGTGTTTGGCCACCGGGGGCTTCCCCTCAAACTGGAATTTGGGCTGGAAGGTGGGGAGCACCAGCACATCCTCAGGGGTTTCAACCAGCCTGGAGGTCTTGGGGACAGATGGCCGCTACAGCTGGAGCAGCACCCTGAGCCTCTCTGCAGACCAGTGGAGGAAGGCGGGCTCAGTGAGCTGTGAGGCCAGTCTGAGTGGACAGAGCCCCGTCACTCAAACCCTGGAGCCTGACCACTGCTCAGAGTAGAGCTTCAGCAACACTTCCTGTCTGCATATGATGTGTTTTATAGTTTGATGAAGCTACATGTTTCTGTTCTTGCAATATCTCTGCAAACATTTGACTCTCTATTGATGTGCATGCTAATTTGAGCAGCTATTATTATCCATGTTGTTCTTTAAAAACGTGCTGTAAAAAAAGTCTAAATCACAAAATAAAATCACAGCTTAAGAAAAATCACTTTTCTTTGGTCCTTTTCACAATACTTTATCAAATATAAATGCTTTATCAAACCCGTACCAGTTTTTTTTAACAAGGAGAAGCACCACAGTCTTTGGAAAAAACTCACAAAAAGCCCAGCCTCCAGGAGGCTCCAACTGGAGCAGCCATTTCTGCAGGTGTTTTTTTAAAGGGAAGCTAAGTCTCTTCGTTAACTAGCTTGGTTGTTCTACAAACAGGTGGTGGCACACAATGAGCAGGTTCAGACTGATCACATGGGAAAACACTAAACTCAGTCTTAAACAAAATTCTTCATCATCTAGAACGGCTTTGGCAAAAGAAATATAGAGCTATACGAGGTCAAAACATGACAATTTTATTGTTCTAACAATATAATTTTCACATTTGAAGTCTCACGCCCTGAGTCAGAAAATCCAACATCACAATCTGAGTTATAGAAAACATAAAAATCATGCAAACACATTTAAGGAGCCAAACACACATCTGTTCTTGTAAAGCAGAAAGGGTAGATATTATGAATGTTCATGTGATTGAGCTGACATATTATTTTTGTGTTTTTTCTCCTTGATACAGTTTCACTTTTGTCTTTTGTCTTCTTCCTAATGGTAAAATAAGCAGCAACATGGCAAAACATACTGTCCAAAGTCCTGATGTGAAAAAATGTTTTTTCTCCTCTTTGTCACACATAAATTCAGACAGAATGCTGGAATAATGGGTTTTATCTTAATATCGCTGTACTTTAAATCTTCGTGTGGTTGGACTTTATTACTCTCGAGTGAAAGGCTGTCCAGCTTTTTACCCATTTCTCCTTGTTACAGCTCTAGCAGTTTGTGTGTTGTGTGGGTGTGCCCAGTCTCTTCCAGGAGCTCAGCTGCCACCCATTTCTCCTGAGGAACCAGTGCACTACTGTATTCATTCAGCAATCAGCTACCCAGAACTATAGAAGCCAGTGAAGCACTGCTGACTCAGCGAGTGGGCCAGCTTTGGGTGTTGAGCGCCTACTGAGTATCTGGTCTGTGCTGGCAGCAGAAGTAAACCTGTAACTTGGTTAAGTATCTTGTTTTCTTTTCCCAGGATATTTTAGGTTGTGGTTGTTTTTGGTTTGGTTGAAACAGTGGTCTAACTCTTTCTTTGAGTGAATCCCTTTTAATAAAACTTATTAAAAAGCTATGCTGTGAGGGTAGTTGCAGGGGCATCCAAAATGAACACAGGAAGTCTCGTCTCTCTACATGAGCCAGTGTGCAGGGTACAACACTACTATACTGTTGCCAACAACAACTTGGAGAGTCAGAGTGCATCTGGAAAGTATTCAGTGCTTCAGTTCCATATTTTTGTCATTTTCACCTTAAAATCCTAAGCAATGCCCCATAATGATGAAGAGAGAAAAGGCTGCATTAAATTGCATTAAAAAATAAAACAATAAAAACAAATATGACATGTATAAATATTCACAGCCTTTGCTCACTACTCTTTTTCTGTAATGATGTAGTATTTTTTAAGTTTCTCAAATTCTTCCCCTCAAGTTCAGTGAATTTGGATCACTACTGTCAGTGCACAACCATTTTCAGATCCCTTCAGACATATTCAGTCAGGTTCAAGTATGGCTCTGGCTGGGACACTCAAGGAGCTTCATAGAGTGGTTCCGAAGCGACTCCTGTTATCTTGGCTGTTTTCTTAGGGCCATTGTCCTGTTGGAAGATGAACCTTCACACCAGTCATCTGACCACTCTGCTGTACTTGCCTGATTGGTGGAGTGCCGTAGAAGGTGGTTCTCTCCACCAGGCCAGGAAGCCTGCTGTACAAAGAGTCCTGGTGGTTCCAAATTTCATTGTTTTAGCTATGATGGAGTAAATTTTTCTCATTGGGACTTTCAATATTGTGTGAAATTTCAAGCACCCCTAGAACAAGAACATCTGGAACTGTCTCTTTGTATAACAAGGAAACAATATTCTTTAATGACAATGTGGAGAAAAAAAAGCTTGTTTGAAACTGAAAAAAAAATATAACAAGTATTCACAGCCTATGCTGCAACACCCAAATCATGTCCAATCAACTAAATTTACCACAGTTACACTTGTTATGGAAAATTTAACAACAACCTGCAACACACCCAGTGAGCTTGATGTGAAGTGGGTTTAATAAACACATTGCAATTTGGAGAGAGCATCCCAGTGAAACACTAGGATCATCTCTGAATTGTGGCCACCGCCCTTACATCTTACATACAGAGACACAGAAAAGAGTATTCCACAAACTCATGTTGGCCCCTCTCATGGGGGGGCTATACCCCTCCCTCACAGAGAGAATTATGACCTGGTTTTCTGCTTGGCCGTCACCTGAAGATTTACATCCCTGATAAGGTGGACAGGAGTGTTCTTACTACAGTAAAATCAGAAAGTGATATTACTATAACTAATGTGATATGATTAAATATGTGATTAATACATGAGAAAAGAAATCTGCCTCCACACACTCCAAGTTGTAGAAACATCTACCAGATTATCTTTTGAAACGTGATGCACCTGACCTAAAATTTGAGTGTCATGGTAAAGGCCGTTTCTTTTTTTTTAATAAATTAGTAAGAATTGCAAGTATACATTTTTTCATTTTGTTTTAATGGAGTGTTTTGTGTAGAATTTTGACATTGAAGACTTAATTCAGCTTTGGAATAAGGCTGTAATGTGACACAATACAAAACATGTACTGTGGGTACTTTCCTTATGCACTGTAAATGAAGCTACCAGTTTTTTTTATTCATGTGATTATTATTGATAATAATGTTTTTGGTCGTTGATATAAATCAGTAGAAATCGTATGGTCTCAACCAACGTTTTGTGGAGAATCAATAGTGTGACTGCTGAAGAAATTGCTCTTCTTTCTGTTTCCTTTTGTTTTGTTTTGTTTTTAAATCATTATAGATGTGGGATCATGCAGTATTTAAAAACTCGGATCATTTTGTTTTATAATCATCAAGAAGCTTAATGGGAATATAAATATAAAGAAACATCTGATCTGTTTGTATAATTTGACAATTCTTCATGTAAATACAGTTGGAAATGCAATGACAAAGTAACTTTGTGAATTTTTTTTATTCCTTTTTCTAAAAACACCCCCAAACAAATCTATCTGTGTGAGATTTAGTGCTTGGTGAGGTTACTGTCAGCTCTGTGTTCACTGGTCTTTTCAGAGTTTCTTCCTCTTCAGCCAGTTCCTGCTGTAACAGCTCAGTGTCTCTGCAGTCTGACTGAGGGAGGTTTTTGTACGACTACAAATCACTGTGTGAACACCCAAGCACTGTTTATGTAATGTTGACTCTTACAAGTAATAAACTGCTGCATCTTCAGCCTGAACCCACTGATGGTCATAGAGAAGTCAGAGCTGCTTCCACTGCCACTAAATCGAGTTGGTGTTCCTGACTGGAGTGTTTTTACATATTTTATTAGGAGCTTTGGAGTCTGTCCAGATTTCTGTTGATACCAGACATACATCATCACCATCATCAAATTCTGTAAACAGCTTGGCTGGTCCTACAGGTCAGAGTGACAGTGGATCCAGGAGTAGATGTCACTACTGGAGGTTGAGTCACAGTCACCTGACCGCTGCATCCTGCAGACAAAAACAAATCATTCATTTATCAGCAGAAATCAATGAGAGAAAAAGCAGCACATCATGTTTGAAATGTTGCTGAGTGAATGAACCTGTAAAACAGCAGCAGGTCAGCGTCCAGATGAGGATGGTGATGAGAGTCATGGTGGTTGTGCTTTCTGCTGTGTTGACTGACAGATGTGAGTCCTGCAGTGTTGAAGTCACAGGACTATAAACCTTCTCAGTTCTCTGGAGGATCAGCTGATGATGCAAAGCCTCCTCTCTATGGAAATCATTTCTCTGCTCTCAGCACACAACAAAACAATGTGAGAAGAAATACTTTTGATATCAAAATGAATTGTTATGAAATAATTATGATTCTGACAGAATACCGACAAATAGATCAGAAAAGATGAGAGCGGTTTTTTTAACATCTGCCACAGTTGTTGGCAACTATATATTTAACTTTTTTGGATCAACCAGCAGAAGAAAAATTATAAAAATGATCATAAATTGTTTAAGAAAAAGTTAAATGTCTTTGATAGTAAATGCTTTTTAATTTTGTAAATTTTGAAGTTAATTCACAAGTTTTAATAAAGAAAAAAGTTAATTTTCAGTGGTTAGAGGCTTGATCAGAGTGTGGGAGGTTTTTGTACGGCCACTTAATGAGTTTGTATCACTGTGGTGGACTTTTGGTGGAGGAACCAAACTCATCATTCACTGTAAGTATCTAAATCCCCTCATATTACTACATAATACTATACTATTACTATTTGAAATATGTCATCAGAGTGTATTTAAACATTGTGTATTCAATTTTATTCTGGGTGTTTTACTTGATGTATATATGATCGTGTTTAGTCATAGTAGCTGTTATTGAAAACTTGGTATCAGAAAGTGTGAATCTATAATACAGTATCATGACTAAATGTTTATATAGTACTGAAAATTTAAATATTTTTTTGAGTTAATAAATAATTTTTCACAAAATCTGAGATTAAAAATATAGCAAAATGATTTTTAGTTATTTATACAAACAGTCAGCAGGATCAAAAATATTGTTGCCTTAAATATCTTTTATTTGATTGCATATTAACAGTTTCATCTCTGAGTTAATAGCTTATCAGTATAATGTAGTAAAAAGGAAGTGAAACAAACAGACGACAAAATCCAGCTCTGTTTGTTTTCCATCAAGAATATAACTGTAACAACAAGACATTTACTATCATTGTAACTTTAACAAAGATTTTAATTGAGTGTGAAAACACATTTTTATTAACCTCCTTTCCTCAGTCTGATCACAGTGTCATGCACACAGTTAATCCACAATGCTGTTAATCTCTGTCATGTATCATAACTGTGTAATGCTCAGCCGTCTGTCGCTGAAAATATGATCTGATGACTTATGATGATGGCACTGAAATGTTTGGCACCATGTTGGATATAACATTTTATGCTGTTGACTAAATGAATTAGTTTTTATACAGATGCACTTTAACGGTTGAGTTTACAGTTCGTTAGTCTGATGTGATGAAAAGGAAGTGAAACAAACAGATGACAAACTTT